TAATGATAAGCTTAGACAATATCCATGGCTCATCATTTCTTCGAACCGATTAAGCGAGTTTTGTAATCAAATGTATGTACAACTCTGTCTTCATATACATTCTCCGACTCTGTTTCTGGGAGCATGGTGTCTAGCCATCTCTAAATTATTATCCATGGATGTGATGGATACAGTTTTAAGCGCGTAATCACACGAATCCATCTCCCGGCGCATGGTTCGTTCACTCTCGGAGCAAACACCAGAAATATTTCTCTCCACCCGAACACAGAAACGATTTTATTGCAACGACACACGAAACAAATTAATCAAGACATGAAAAGCTCAGACATGTATTTAGATTTTGTGAGTCTAGCTTTTGTTCGGGGGGGGGGGGGGGAGGGGAATGATGGCGGGAAAACAGGACAGCTTTTGTGGACATATTTTTTTTTTGTAGACACACGAAACAAATTAATCAAGACATGAAAAGCTCAGACATGTATTTAGATTTTGTGAGTCTAGCTTTTGTTCGGGGGGGGGGGGGGGAGGCGAATGATGGCGTGAAAACAGGACAGCTTTTGTGGACATATTTTTTTTTTGTTCCATGATCGGTGGATTTGGCATCCACCAAAAAAAAGAGATTTTTCGGTTCAGAAGTAAGACCAAATTAAATGATCATATGTCAAAGGACCTGATCCACAGAAAGAGTTTTCCTAAATGTGGCAGTGTAGACAATAATTTGTCGAATGTTTGTCTCTTATTTACTTTCAGTTAGGCATTAAGCCTAAAAAATACATTTAATTCTTTTCACATTACATTAATTTTGTTTGTTTATTGTTGTTATTTTTGGGTTTTTTTTTGTTTTTTGTTTTTTTTTTCAATAAAAGATAAGATGCTTATTTAATGTTATATTTAAATAGAAACTATTCAATTATTTTTTATATTTTTTTTATGTAATAAGTCACGGTCGGTATAATTTTTCAAAAAAAAAATCAAGTTTAAGAATGTCATAATAAATAAAATTAAAATAAAAGCTGGTTTTGTACGAAATAATAATGAGGGTAAAACAGTTTAAATTTTAAATGATTTGAATCTGAACATCAAAGTCTTTCCGTCGATACTTTTGTGTAATGGGCCTGCCTCCGCGTGAAGTTAAATTATAATGTACACACACTCTCTACCCTATCTATCAAAACGGTACACACTCTCTACCCTATCTATCAAAACGGTACATACTCTCTACCCTATCTATCAAAATGGTACACACTCTCTACCCTATCTATCAAAACGGTACATACTCTCTACCCTATCTATCAAAACGGTACATACTCTCTACCCTATCTATCAAAACGGTACACACTCTCTACCCTATCTATCAAAACGGTACATACTCTCTACCCTATCCATCAAAACGGTACATACTCTCTACCCTATCTATCAAAACGGTACACACTCTCTACCCTATCTATCAAAACGGTACATACTCTCTACCCTATCTATCAAACCGGTACACACTCTCTACCCTATCTATCAAAACGGTACATACTCTCTACCCTATCTATCAAAACGGTATATACTCTCTACCCTATCTATCATTTTCCTTTCTCCGGGGAAACCTAACGACATTTAGAACAAGGTAAAAACTATAGACATTTAGAACAAGGTTAAAAACTATAGACATTTAGAACAAGGTAAAAACTATAGACATTTAGAACAAGACAAAAGCTATAGACATTTAGAACAAGGTAAAAACTATAGACATTTAGAACAAGGTAAAAACTATAGACATTTAGAACAAGGTAAAAACTATAGACATTTAGAACAAGACAAAAACTATAGACATTTAGAACAAGGTAAACACTATAGACATTTAGAACAAGACAAAAACTATAGACATTTAGAACAAGGTAAGAACTATAGACATTTAGAACAAGGTAAAAACTATAGACATTTAGAACAAGGTAAAAACTATAGACATTTAGAACAAGGTAAAAACTATAGACATTTAGAACAAGGTAAAAACTATAGACATTTAGAACAAGACAAAAACTATAGACATTTAGAACAAGACAAAAACTATAGACATTTAGAACAAGACAAAAACTATAGACATTTAGAACAAGGTAAAAACTATAGACATTTAGAACAAGACAAAAACTATAGACATTTAGAACAAGGTAAAAACTATAGACATTTAGAACAAGACAAAAACTATAGACATTTAGAACAAGGTAAACACTATAGACATTTAGAACAAGGTAAAAACTATAGACATTTAGAACAAGACAAAAACTATAGACATTTAGAACAAGACAAAAACTATAGACATTTAGAACAAGGTAAAAAACTATAGACATTTAGAACAAGGTAAAAACTATAGACATTTAGAACAAGACAAAAACTATAGACATTTAGAACAAGACAAAAACTATAGACATTAAGAACAAGGTAAAAAATATAGACATTTAGAACAAGACAAAGACTATAGACATTTAGAACAAGGTAAAAACTATAGACATTTAGAACAAGGTAAAAACTATAGACATTTAGAACAAGACAAAGACTACAGACATTTAGAACATAATAAAATAAACTAGAATCGTGATCGGTGGGGGGGGGGGGTATTACTTTGTTTGATTTTCATTTTAAATATCGATATTAATTAAAATTATCTAACTTCATTCGTTACTTCGTCGCGTCTACTTCTCTGCTAATGAAGTAAGTGTAAGCAAATCCAGATTTGCATTTTCAGTTGAATAAGTCAATCGCTCATTTAACCTCACTCCTTGTGAGAGTCCAGATATATTTTGTACGAGACTCTACTGAGTCCCAGTCAAACAGACGAAACCTTGAAATCACGGGAATTCAAGTGTTCACACAACAAGAAAAATGGAAATAAGCACACGGGCCATGAAACCTCCCTACCGTACCACCTACGACTGCGCCTTGCGCCTTGCCTGCAGTACTACGGCCCTCTCTTCAAGCTAAGCGTACCGGGTCCTGTCTTGCGGCCCTACCACAGTCACTGCCTTCAATACCGCCCCGCGCACAAATCGGAAATATTGTTTGGAGTTTTATTTCTTCCTTCGTCGCTTATCACCTGTTCCATAGTGTTAAATTTTTGGTTGTTTTTTTTTTTTTAAATTTCGCCACAACCCGAGGAGAGATAGATCAGTCCCTTCTATCATTAGGTGCATACTGCGGTGGATATTTCTTTGGAGAATGCGGTAAAGTGGACTCTGTCCTAAAGTGAAGTCACAATGCTTTAATGGACCAAACGTACTGTTGATGTGGGTTAAATTTTCACGGATTAACATTTGGATAATTCTCAGGTGATAATCTCTGTGTAGGATGACCTATTTTCGCTCGTGGATTTACTGTTGTGGAAAGAATTTCGCTTGCTATTGAACAATTTCGAGCACCTGGTTGGTATAAGTGTATTGATTTGTCTTGGTGAATTAATTATAAGAGTCGTTTTTAAGTGAGTATTTCAAACGAGATGTTACCAGCGTAAGATAATTGTGCGGGTCATAGCGTATTTGACAATTAAAAAAATGTTGATAAGTGTTGGATAAGTGTTGGATAAGTGTTGGATAAGTGTTGGATAAGTGTTAATTAATGACGTGTTCCAACAAATTAACGCGACTTTTTAGAACAAGATATTTTTTTTTAAATTTCAACATTCGCGGATTAACAGTAAACTTGTATTCTGAGTTTTCCTTATTAATCGTTAATATGTAGATATATTTCGACCGTCTGAGTGACTTTGTCATTCCTAAATTGTCTGTATCAAAAATTAACCTCATTGGATCAAACTAGTTTCTTAGAAAGGAAAAAAAAGTGGGGTGGGGGGAGTCAATGAAACGCTTTTACCTAATGATTTCTAAACGTGTTCTTCAAATGTGTGTAGCTGAAATCTAATTTTTATAATTACAGGTGGTTATCTTAGATTGGTGATAACTGGTTGTCAGATTTAATTTGCAGGTAGATTTCAACTGATCATCAACAGAACTAATCTCATTATCATGTTGTTATTTTTTTTATATTTTTTTTTATTGACGGGTTCATTGTGTTGAGATACAGCAAAGAAAACATGAACGAGAGATACCAGTGAAGGCTAGTTATTAACGGCAGTATGTTGGGTGTGAAATAATGAAAATCATTCTAGAACTGAGAAGGTCACAAAGTTATTCTTCCCACTCAGAAACATAAATGTTAATGGTAGAACAAGAGAAGAGATGGTCTCGGATGAGGTCCCTCAAAAGTGACTTATTATTTCATGGCTTCTAATTATGTTTACCAAATGGGGAAAAGAGTGGTGGATTTTAAAAAAAATGTATTTATTGTAATCGAAAATGTCTTGAGTCTTAGCGAATAGAGAAAAAATGTCTCGAGTCTTAGCGAATAGAGAAAAAATGTCTTGAGTCATAGCGCATAAAAAAAGTGCCTTAAGAGTCTTAGCGCTCTTATCCTGATCTTGAAGAATGGTCAGCATAGACAGGTGCATGGGAGGGGGGGGGGTGTCAACAATTCCACGAAACTCTATTGATAATCCCATGGTTTGACTTAACATATTTATGACACCAATAAAAAAATGATCTAGATGTAGGTCTGGTAGCGTAGGATTGGTTTGGGGGGGGGGGCGAAAGGGGTCCACCCCAGGCGATACTTTTTAATCTCTGTATGGGGGGGGGGGGGTAACATTTTTATCAACATTGTTGGTATAAAATATTAAAGTAAATTATATTTTAAATATTATTTTTAATTTTTTTTTAATTTTTTTTTTTTTTGTGCGGTAGTATGTAGTTATCATAGCAGGTAGAATTAGTCTAGATCCACTCATAAGATTGAGATGAAATCGTGCAGCTCCATACTTTTCGACCTGTTCGCTTGAGACTACACGTTAGCATGAGAAGCCAAGTGCACCAAGACATAAAGACTTGGCATCATATCGCGCTAACGTAAGGATTTGTTCACTCGGAGTCCTCGTCGCGGTCAACTGACGATAGAATTAAAAGCTCGTAGAGCAAATCAAGGATACGTTAAGATTTCTTTTGTTGTGGCTCTAGTGTACTCTGAAAAGTACGCGAAGGTCATGGGAGGTCACGGCGTGGTCATCGTTGGGCTGTTGGTGGCCGTGCTGCACCTGAGGGACGGTGCGGACGGGAACATCGCGTCGTACGTCAAGCAGATCTGCGAGCGGATACCGATACACACGACGGCGGAAAAGACGACGGGCGATAACGGATTTCGGATTATTATCGAAGGATTACCCACGCCGGACACGTACAGGCCAGGGGACACGTACAAAGGTAAGACTTTCAGACCTTGCTTGTGCGTCATCGTTGGATTGGGCATGTTGCATGGCATCGTTCTTTTATCACCTTCGAGATGCCTGGTATACTTGCTCTCTATCTCTCTCTCTCTCTCTCTCTACCTCTTTCTATCAATATATCTCCCTCCCGCTCTCTATATCACTCTCTATCCATGTATCTCCCTCTTCTCTTTCCATTTCTCTCTCTATCTCTCTCTATCTCTCTCTCTCTCTCTCTCGATATATATATATATATATATATATATATATATATATATATATATATATCTCTCTCTCTCTTTCTCTCTCTCTCTCTCTATATATATCTATCTCTCTCTCTCTCTATATATCTCCCTCTCTCTCTCTCTATCTCTCTCTCTCTCTATCTCTCTCTCTTCTCTCTCTCTCTCTCTCTCTCTCTCTCTCTCTCTCTCTCTCTCTCTCTCTCTATATATATATATATATATATATATATATATATATATATATATATATATCCCTCTGTCTCTTTCTTTCTCTCTCTGTGTCTATAAATCGATCCCTAACTCTATCTCTCTCTATACATCTATACCCATCTCTCTCTTTCCACTATTTCTCTCCGTTTCTCTCCCTCTGTGTCTCTGTCTCTCTCTTTATCACACTCATTTATACTCATACACACATACTTGAAACAAACACGTCCTGCAGGACATGTACACACATCAAATCGATCATAACATGTTCATACACTTGATATCGATACTGTTGTATTGAATTATATAATCATATCCTTGAATCATATAATCATATCACTGAATCATATAATCATATCACTGAATCATACAATCATATCATTGAATCATATTATCATATCCTTGAATCATATACCTGTTATAACCATATAATTGGACATATTTTCTTGATAAAATCCCCTTATGTGATATCAAGATCCTATATTCAGTTCTGTAATCCCGTCACTGGTAATAGGCAGAATAGAAAATCTCTTCACAGACAAGGCATAATCCCATCATATGAGATTATAAAATCTCATCACAGATAAGGCGTATTCCTGTCATAAAAGATTATAAAATCTCATTACAGATAAGGCGTAATCCCTTCATAAAAGATTATAAAATCTCATCACAGACAAGGCATAATCCCATCATATGAGATTATAAAATCTCATCACAGACAAGGCATAATCCCATCATATGAGATTATAAAATCTCATCACAGACAAGGCATAATACCTATACGGTAGATTATGCTAACCCGACACTGACAATTTCATCGACCTTGGTATCACAGTAAACACAACATATCAAACATGCTGCGCTTAGATGTCAAGTCCAATCCACAGACGTAAACATACGTAACTTCGGTTAGCACAGTGGTCGTTTAAACATATTTTAAAATGACTAAGTTCTTGAAGATTCTACAATCATACAATGACAATTTCCGGCAAATTCTGAGTTAAAAAAAAAATTTAAAAAAAAAAAAAAAAACTATTACAAAATAGGAACAATCTAACGGGCAATCGAAGTTTTAAAAAAAAAAAAAAACTGCCTGTCTCGCGAGTCGAGGTTTTCAGAGAAATCTCACAGTTGAACAACATCCTGGCATGACGTCATATAATTCATATAAGTTAGTTCGTATACCATGAGTCAGAAAAAAAAACAAAAAAAACAACAAACCAAGTCTTTCTTACTTCGGAGCACTTGTCATTTGCCTTTCTCCGGAAAACCTATTGAAATTTAGAACAGAATAAAATCTAATAATAATAATAATAATCACAATCTATGTAAGCTTACAGTAGTGTGTCATAAAATCCCCCCTCCCCCCAAACGAGCATAGACCTCTCTGTCTAAATGAGGAAAGAAAACTGTCGTCCCGTTTATTATTGGTGGGACTTGTACCCAAACTCAACTGTTGGGTCTGAAACTTGAGATATCGTTCAGCACACGTTAAAAAAAGAAAGCACTTCTTAGAGCTCAATGCACGTTATAGAGTAAAGCAATAAAGATAATTGTTCATTGTATTGAGCCCTACATAATCTATAGGGAAATAATATTCCCCGAGTAGCAGACCCGGTAATCTATTTTTTTTTTCCTAGGACCTTATAATCAAACAAGAGCTTTTTTTTTCTTTTTTTTTTTAAATTTTTGGATAGTACAATTAGAGAACAGCTCATAACCTTTGACTTTCTAATGAGACAAAAGCTGTTTCTCTCGGACATAAGCTGTTTCTCTCGGGCATAAGCTGTTTCTCTCGGACAGAAGCTGTTTCTCTCGGACAGAACCTGTTTCTCTCGGACAGAAGCTGTCTCTCTCGGACAGAAGGCGTTTCTCTCGGACAGAAACCGTTTCTCTCGGACAGAAACCGTTTCTCTCGGACAGAAACCGTTTCTCTCGGACAGAAGCCGTTTCTCTCGGACAGAAGCTGTTTCTCTTGGACAGAAGCCCCTTCTCCCGGATAGAAGCTGTTGCACTTTAATATTGGTAAATTTCCCACAAAAAAAATAAATAAACCCTTTAAAAACACTTCAATAGCTAAGCTTATCAACATTGAATAATTACATTTGCGAAATGTGAGATGGTTGAAAGATTTTCGTGTAAATCTGTCTCACAGCCTCCACCTACCATCTTTAAATTTCCTTGTTCCAGCGTGAACACAACTGTATTTTGATTTGTCATCCCCGACCAAAACAAAAACACTAAATGGACTTTTTAATTTCAATAAAAGAAAGTATTTCTTAAGGCCATGGATTAACTTATGGCTATTAATCAGTGGCGTAGATAGGGTTGTTTCCACCCGGGGTGGACCAAAATTTATGCCGCCCTTCCTCCGCGAAAAAAACAACAAAAAAACTCTTCATTTCGGTCGGAAATGGCGCCCCTACAAAAGAAACTCCTCATTTCGGTTGAAAATGGCGCCCCTACAAAAAAACTCCTCATTTCGGCCGAAAATGGCGCCCCTACCAAAAAAAAAAAAAATGCCGACAGGGGGCGTACCGCCCTTCTTCGTGACCACCCTTCCTACGCCCCTTCTATCAGTTATGTTTTCATTTCTCATTCCATTGTGAGGTTTTCTTTCACAGATTCTAATTGTTTCTGTTTTAACGTCCATAAAACTGCTCTCATCATACCAGTTGGTTGACATTTTCCACCGGGATCAAAACTTTGCTGTTGTTATTTTTCATAAATAAAAAAAAAAAAAAAAAAATGTTTTCTTTGTAATCAAACATTGTATCTTTTCTTTCTCTCCACTCAAAGTTGTAACAGAACGCTCTGATCTTGTCCACTTACATTCTGCTGTGAACTTTAAGTTAACCCGCTCGCCCGGACACTGTACCCACACCATTGCCGTGGTCCTTGCACCAAAACCTGTTACCAGGTGAGAATCTCGCATGTTCTCCTGTTCCTTTGCCGCCGTCAAGTTTCTACCACTGGAGTCCTCCCATCAGAGCAGATCATGTTGTAGGACTTTGATACCCCTCCCCCCCCCCGTCAGTAGCAACTTCTGTCTAGACCAGTGGTTCTCAACCTTCTTAATGTCACGACTCTTTAATACAGTTCCTCATGTGGTAGTGACCCCCCGAACCATACAATTATTTTCGTTTCTTCTTCATAAATATGTGTTTTCCGATGGTCTTAGGCGACGATTTTGCAAAGGTCGTTCAACCCCCCCCCTCCTCAATGGGGTTGCGACCCACAGGTTGAGAACCACTGGTCTAGACGGCCTTAAACAATTTAAAGACAGCGCCATCTGGTGTCAGGTAATTAAGGCACACTATCGAGACATAAGACATCTAGTTGGAGAACGGCTATGGGGCGCTGTATGTACGCAAATATAATCTCGATTGTTCATTGTTCACTCGACTTCCTCTTTCTATAGCTGTTGCTGTTGATATCAATATTCAACTGTCTATATCTGTTTATATCGCCTATAACTGTCTATATAGGTTTATGTTTTTCTACAACTGTATATATATATGTTTATGTTTGTCTACAACTGAATATTATATTTTTTTATTATATATGTCTAGAACTGTCTATATCTGTTTGTCTATATATTTGTTTATATCCGTCTGCAACTGTCTATCTACTTATACCTGTCTAAAGCTGTCTATATCTGTTTATACCTGTCTACAGCTATCTATATCTGTTTATACCTGTCTACAGCTGTCTGTGTCAACATCTTTCAAAATATGTCTAGATCGTTCTATATGTCTTTACATTGTTCTATCCCAATCTATAGCTAGCTATGTCTACAAATGTCTATATTTATTGTGTATATCAGTCCAAATCTCTTCAAATTTTTACTGATATGACCTAGCATTTTTTTTTAAATATATATAATAATTAGGGCGAAACATTTAGACACTCATCATTGTCTTACCAACTGACCACAACACCGACACAGAGCCACCTTCAAGAGCAGCTTTCTGTTCTGGAAACGTTACTCTAGTTGGCTATCGTCTTTTTGGTTGTCTTTTCCTTTTTAACATTTGTTCCCATGACGGTTTAAAGAGATGGGATTCCAATTGTAATCAAATCCGTTACCAGATCTCCCGCAAGGGACTCCATTTCGATTATTTAAATTGCGGCTAGGCACTCCGTTTTTTCTTTATCTCCAACCCAAGCAGTCTAAAGCTTCACAAACATGTCAGCTTGATTTGATGGAACTGGTTGCTCTATCTTGATGAAGATGTGCTGTTTCAGTGAAGAAAAAAGTCTGTCTATATACAAGATGTTAAGAAAAGGAATTTTTTAATTTGATTCATTAAAAAAAAAGAAAAGATAATTAAGTATGGAAGTTTTCTTTAATGAAAAGGATCATCTGAAGATTTTTTTTTTTTCCTTAAGCCCCTGCCTTGGAATGACTCAACACAACAATCACTCAAACCTCTGGACTAGCATGTCACCCAAACACTCTGTGTCCTGTAGACACATCCATTCAAAAGTGCATCATACTCATCGATTCAAGGGTGCATCATACTCATCCATTCATGGGTG